AGTAAAATATACAAACACAGGCCATTTACCATGTAAGGAAGTACAAATATTGCTGATGAAAAGCATTCAAAACCTTGTGAAATTTGATAGAAAGGGATCATTTCTAGTTAAATGAGCCATGATCCCAAAGCATCACTGCAAGGCCTGGATCCTGTGATTACATCCCCCCCCCTGCAGGAACCGGGCCCCTTCATCTCAGTGGTTCAGCCAGAACATGATGTCTTGGCTCAATAATCTAACACACTTGGCAGGGTGGACATCCCAAGTGTGAGGCCACACCAGTGAACATGGGTGGAGGCTTTCTCAACAGAAAAATGATGAAGGTCTCATTCAGGGATGACGGGTATGATTCGTGGGAGTGTCCGAGGAAGAGCAGAGAGCTGCTCAGCGTGTGGAATTTCTTCCTGCAGGCGGACTTTAATGGATAAAGGAAACAAGCCAGGAAGGAAAAGGAAATAAATGAAGGGTGTTGGATGGAAAGTGAAAATATATTTGTGCCAATGCAGTACTGTGCAAAAGTCTTGAGCCAATCCTAATTTCTTTATGTTTTGCTTTGAGCGTCAGACTTGTACTCGGGTTGGGCGTCAGTCCAGTAATCGCCGACGGGCTCAGCCTTTCATCGATAGTCCATATATTCGTCCAATCGCCCAAACTTGTACCTCGTTCCTCATTTTCAGAGGAATCTTCATCCTTGTTTTTGACCTAACACGGACCAATGAATCATTCAAGCACAAAAAAGAGCCAGTGTTGTGTCTACAGACAAAAGACAACAGCAATGAACCAATTTTAAATGGTATCTTTAGACACTTTGTTACCAGCAGCTTTCCATAAATGAGTTTTCCCCTTTCTTCAGTTGAGTCTATGAAAGATGCCTGATAGGTGTAAAGTGCCAGTTCTGCCCCAGCGAGGTGATTCCCAAAGAGCTATCAGCCCAAACGTGGCACGTGGTGTGCAGCGTGGCCCTCAAAGCTTTGAGGAAAGTAGCAGAGACACAAACCATCTGCAGCACATGAACAGAATCTGAAAGTCACGTCCTTAAAACAGGAATAAAATCCTGCTAGAATTATACAAACTCTGTCGTCTTCATTCCCATTTTCTTACAAATATCAAGAAATAACGAGTGGCTCAAGACTTTTGCGCAGTACAGTATTAATTTAATATCTGACATGACAACTCATTTGTTGTCATTTCATATCCTCGAGTGGCGCTAATGGGGGTGTAAAGGCAGCTAAAGTGCAGTCCTACCCCCTCCTTGTGGGACAGTTTGGCCAGGTCCTTGTCTGATGCCTGAGGTACTCCTGTTGGCCACTCCACTTTCACCTCTTCCTCTTCTGGTGTCTCCTCACACTGCTCCTCTTCTTCTTCTTCTACTTCCTGCCCTTCCTCACATGTATCTCCGTCCTCCTCCTCACAGCCCGTCTGTGGTGATGAACGCTCTGACTCCAAAATCGAGCTGTGTTCCTTCACGTTCTCCTGGTGCGTAGTTTCTGACGTGTTGGCTGGAATGGAAATGGAAAAATCGTATGACTCTCACTTTGCCACAATGCGCTCATTGTGCATTGTTTTGGTTGCAAAGGTGAAAATCTAATTACCAACCGTCCCATTAGTTCACAAACACAAGGTTCACCTCAGCAGGGTACGATATTACCACATTACTTTACTCACGCTACGATATTTTTCCCATTTTTCAAAATGCTGAGTAATCCGGGTGTCATAGGGCGAGAGGCGGGGGGCTAACACACAGAGACAGACAGCCACTCACATTCACACCTATGGGCATCAATTAAGCTATCCCCACTAAGTGCATGTCTTTGGACGGTGGGAGGAAGCCGGAGTACCCGGGGAGAACCACCCACGGGAGAACATGCAAACTCCACACAGAAAGACCGGCCGGATGATGGAATTGAACTCAGGACCTTCTTGCTGTGCGGCAACAGTGCTGACCACTGTGCTGTCCCTATGCTGAGTAACAATATACATAATTATTTATTATTGTATATCTTATTACTCTCTCTATGCTGAGCATGTGTATGACAAAAGAATTTCCCTCAGTTCTTCTTATCTTATTACCTTTGTTCAACGGTAAAGTCAAACGTTGTCATATCTAAAGTTAGCTCACTGCAGTTATTTTTGAATGTAAAACACACCAAACTGAAGCTGCCATAAATGTTGCTGTCAGGCTGCTGAACATAGAGCGCACAAATCTAAACACACCATCATCTGTGGGGATTCTTTGGTATCAGTTCTGAACAGAGACACGTGTTTACCTTCATCATGATGCAGCTGTAGTGTCGTGTTGAGCTTGTTCTGGTGATTGAAACACAGTCGACGACTTTAA